CACAAAGGGCTTACGTATATTGGGCCGCAGAGGGCAAGAACGGGGCCACTGAAGGCAGCGACGCGACCACGAAGGGCTACAACGGGGCCACGAAGGGCGACAGCGGGGCCACGAAGGGCATGCAGATGGAGCCACGACGGGCGCGAACGAGCGGGAGCCACGAAGGGCATACAGCTATGGGGCCACAGATCGCAGCGACGGGGCATCGAAGGGCTGCAACGGGGCCACGAAGGGCAGCGAAGGGAGCACGAAGGGCTGCAACGAGACCACGAAGGGCAGCGACGGGGCCACGAAAGGCTGCCACGGGCGATGACGGGCAGCGAGGGGGCATCGAAGGGCTGCGTCAGGGCCGAAAGGGGCAGCGACGTGGCCACGAAACGCCGCAACGGGGCCACAAATCGCAGCGACGGGGCCACGAAGGGGTGCAACGGGGCCACGAAGGGCAGCGACGGGGCCACGAAAGGCTGCAACGGGACCACGAAGGGCAGCCAGGGGGCCACGAAGGGCTGCAACGAGGCCACGAAGGGCAGCGACGGGGCCACGAAGGGCTGCAAGGGGACCACGAAGGGCAGCGACGGGGCCACGAAGGGCTGCAAGGGAACCACGGAGGGCAGCGACGGGGCCACGAAGGGCTGCAACGGGGCTACGAAAGGCAGCGAAGGGGCCACGAAAGGCGGCAGCGGGGCCACAAATCGCAGCGGCGGGGCCACGAAGGGCTGCAACGGGACCACGAAGGGCAGCGACGGGGAAAGGAAGGGCTGCAACGGGACCACGAAGGGAAGCGAAGGGGCCACGAAGGGCTGCAACGGGACCACGAAGGACAGCGAGGGGGCCACGAAGGGCTGCAACGGGGTTACGAAGGGCAGCGGGATTCAGATTTCAAAATAAGCTGTGAGGGAGCGCTACGCATAAGCGCGACCACTTTGTGCCTGAGTGTCGGGGGCGCGGCGCTTGAGTAAATTAAATTGCAGGTGGTTCCAAAGCAAGAGTGTGATTTGTTAGGAAATTGCAAGCAAGTCTCTAGCGAAAGCGCGACTCTGGAGCGCCGAGAGAGCGATTCTTGCATAAATTGTGAAGACAACCCAGTAGAGAGCGCGACTCCTACATAAAATGCGAGGAAGTCTCAGGCGGGGGTCCTGGCTAAATTGTAAGGAAGTCTCAAGCGAGAGCAGTTGTTGTTGTAAGCTGGGGGCCAAGGGCGCACTTTGAGCCTAGTGACTTTCCCGGAAAAGAAACAAGGTGCGAACCCCGGGGGAAGCACTTCAATTCAAAAATACACAATGGTCACCGAAGGGGGGGGATCAACAACAATTATTCCTCAATAGTAAGAGTTCCATTTCAACACCAACAACAACAATAATACTAATAATAATAACAACAACAATAAGTTGACCCCCGTGCGCGATGTTTCCACACCAAGCATGCGACCATCATGATAACCATCCACATCATGGCGAACTCTTGTTCTATAGCGGATCTGTTATTCCCATTCCCAGGTATCCCGCCCAATGAGGTCTTGCAGACACCTCCTCCGAGGAATTTCAACATGTCCCGCCTCGAACACACATGCCCGCGCCTTGTTGCGCCGATGCGAGACCGCCAGTGGCCCAGCGAAGGGTGAAGCACAAGGAGGTATCGGACGACAGGATTGCCTTGGTGGGGATGGGGGCTGTCGGCGGCAAGGCGGGGACCTGGCCCTGAATAGAAAGGGCGGGAGTCTCGAGCAGGGCTGCCGTTGCTGCTGGGAGCGGCGCCAGTGCTGAAGAGAGTAGGGCGCTAGTCAAGCGTAAAGCAAGACGAAACCTCGAGCGGGAACGCTGGTTTTGTTGGGACGGCGGCTTTCGGCGGCGAGGAGGCAAACCGCCTTGAGTAAGAAAGGAGGAAGCATCGAGCGGGAGCCGTGGTTTTGTCGGGACGGGGGCTGTCGGCGGCGAGGAACAGCACCGGCCCGAGGAAAAAAACGAAAAATCTCGAGCGGGAGCGTTGTTCTTGCTGGGAGCGGCGCCAATTCAAAAGAGAAATGGGCGCCAGTCCAGCGTAAAACGGAAGGACGTCTCGGGCGGGAACGCTGGTTTTGACGGGGCGGCGGTTTTCGGCGGCGAGGAGGAACACCGTCTTGATGAAGGGGAGGAAGACTCGAGCGGGAGCGCTGTTGTTGCTGGGAGCGGGGCGTATTCAAATTATTCACTGCGTGGAGCTCCCCATATGTGCATCTATTCGCATGGACCTGTCCGCCGCGAATGTTTAGGCGCAAGAACTTTCGAATATAAGCGGGCTTCAGTTGTGGCGGTCTGGTCATGAATCTAACTGCGAATGAATTGGAATGTGAATGAGTCTCAGTAGTACGAGCGCGTCTCCGCGCATGAGCCTGGGGCCTCCTGGGGCCTCCTGAAACCTACTGGGGCTTCTTGGGGCCTCCAGGAGCCTCTTGGGGCCTCCTGGGGCATCCTGGGACCTCCCAGAGAGGCTTCGTGCCCCAGGAGAGGCCCAATATATAGCAACCGACGTACATGAAACATTGCGGAATGGAACCGCAGGAGAAGGGCAATCTCTAGGAACACACGTAAAGCACCAAGGACTCGTGCCCCAGGAGAGGTCCAATATATAGGAACATAAGTAAAACATTTAGGATTGTGTTCACAGGAGAAGGACAATCTATAGAAACATACGTACAACGTCAAGGATTCGTGCTCCAGGTGAGGCCCAGTATATAGGAGCATTCGTAAAACACATGGGATTGGAGCCACTCCTGTTGCCTTCTGAAGCCTCCTGCTCCTGGGGCCTCTCGGGGTCTCCTGTTGCCTTCCGAAGTCTCCTGGCGTTTCCTGTGGCCTCCTGGAGCCTCCTGTGGCTTCCTGAGGCCTCCTGGAGCTTCCTGGGGCCTCCTGGAGCCTCTTGGGATATCTTGTGGCCTCTTGAGTCTTTCTATGGCCTCCTGTTGCCTCCTGAGACCTCATGTGGTCCCCAAGGGCCTCCTGGAGCCTGTTGGAGCATCCTGTGGCATCCTGAGGAGAACCTGTGCCCACGAGTCTGGCCACCAAAACAGGCAAACCGAACGAGGCATCCTCAAAATCTGGCCCACCTGGGGGGTGAAAGTGAGCGCCTCGCTCGAGACATCCTCCAAATCTGCTCCGAAAGCGAAGGGTGCTGGGACAGAAAACAAACAAACCGCTTGCGCCATCCCAACAAACCGGCCGCGAACGGGACCGTGTCATACCCCTCGGCGGCCCCCTTAGGGGCGTGAAAATGAGCGCCTCGCTCGAGACATCCTCCAAATCTGCTCCGAAAGCGAAGGATGTTGGGACAGAAAACAAGCCCCTCGGCGGCCCCCCTTAGGGGCGTGACAATGAGCGCCTCGCTCGAGACATCCTCCAACTCTGTTCCGAAAGCGAAGGAAGTTGGGACAGAAAACAAGCAAACCGCTTGAGGCATCCCCACAAAACGGCCGCGAACGGGACCGTGTCATACCCTTCGGCGGCTCCCCTTAGGGGTGCTGAAACCAGCGCCCAGTCTGAGACATCCTCACGATCTGCTATGTGTAGAGTAAGTCAGACAATGAGAAGGCCTGAGTATGAATAGGTCTGAATATGAGTGAGTCTCAGCATGAGCAAGTCCGAGTATGAATGGGTCTGAGTATGAGTAGGTCTGAGTATGAGTAAGTCTTATATGGAGCGCCTCCCGCTTCACTCTGTAAATCGTGTATACACATGAAAATGCTCAAAAAAATACTCGGCGGCGTTTTTTTAAACGTCATGTTAAAATACTCAAAAAATACTTTAAAAAAGCAATGAAAAATATCAATATACAATACAATTGCGTTGCTACATATATCATACGCACCACCCCTGGCCCCGAAAAGTGACATGTTGCGTCGGTACACAACAGCGCGCGCACGAGAAAGGGGAGGAGGAGGAGGACGACGACGACGACGAGGACGACGACGACCACGTCAAAGAAGACGACGACGAGGACCGCTACGACGACGACCGCGACGACGACTCCAAGTCCTCCTAACTCCTCAAACTCCTCCCATCTCCTCTAAACTCCTCCCAATTCCTCCCGACTCCTCCCAACTCCTCCTATTCATCCCAACTCCTCCTACTTCTTCCAACTCCCCCTAACTCCTTCTACTTCTCCTAACTTCTCCTGTTCCTCCAATGCCCCCAACTCCTCCCAACTCCTCCTAACTCCTCTAACTCTTCCAACTCCCTCGCAACCCCTCCCAAGTCAAACTCCCCGCAACCTTTCCGATCCCCCTCTTGAGCCCCAGCTCCTGCAATTTCCCAACCCAAACCTCTCCCTCATTCCATCTCTCCTCCCCTTTCGTGCCCGCCCCTGCCCCTATCCCTCGAGAGAGCGGGGCTCGCGAGTCCTGGCACGCACTCGCCGACGTTGCGTGGCGGCGGCGGGGGGGTGGGAGGCGGCGACGACGACGACGACGACGACGACGACGATGACGACGACGACCACGACGACGACCACGACGACCACGACGACCACGACGACGACCACGACGACGACGAAGACGACGGCGAGGACGACGACGACGGCGAGGAAGACGACGACGACGACGACAAGGACGACGACGACGAGAAAGGATAATGACGACGACGAGGAAAGATCACGACGAGGACGACGACGACGACGACGATAAGGACGACGACAATGACGAGGAGGACGACGACGACGAGGACGAGGGACCGAACGGGCCGAGGGGGCCGAGCGAGGGGGACCGAAACAAGACGAGGCCGAACGAAGGGGCCGAGGGCCGCGACCGACGAAGAGCGAAGAGGGAGGCGATGAGGAGAGAGGCCAAGTGGTTTTCCCCAGGCGGCAGCCCGCTCGCTCTGGTAGGGGCGAGCGCGAGCGGGTCTGGCGCCGCGCGCGCCCCGCTCTCAAGCGGGGCCCCCAAACGCCGAGGCTCGCGCGGAGCCGCGAGCAGGCAGCGACCAGCATCGCGATGTCCCGTCACGATCGGCTCTGGCATGGACTTGTGCTTCTCACTTCATCTTCAGGCCATCGCGATAGCGATTCACGATCGGCTCTGGCATGGACTTGGGCTCGAGCGCGTACTTCCTGATCTTCGCCTGCACCGCTGTCATTTTCGTTCTCAGCCCCACTTTGTTTTTTACCAGCTCTGCGTCGCCAAAGTGACTGCACAGCTCGATGCTGATGCACGCCGCCCTGATCTCTGACACGGCGCCCTCGATGGTCTTGATGTCTTCCGTCTGCACAGTGATGCCGTACTCGCCCGCCTTCGCGCGGAGCTGCTCGACCTCGCCCTCGATCTGCGCGCACCTCTCGAGCCAGTCCCCCGTGTTCGCGTCTGTCAGTCCCTTTTTCGCGACCTGCAGGATCGGCGGCAGAGCGGTGGCCGACATGCAGACCTTCTCGTACTCGCCCATGTGGGGGGACTCCTTGATCATCTGCCTCAGCGTCGTCATCTTGCTCGTGATGTTGGACTGGATCGCCGCCACGCTGCTGCTACCATTCTGCTTCACGAACTCCTTGGCAGCATCGATCCTGGCGCCCAGCAGCTCTGATGCACCAGGGGCGAACCGATCCAGCAGCGTCGGCTTCGCGGTCGACTTGTACTTCTGGAGCGCCCTGACCAGGTCCTTCACCATGCCATCGACCACCTCGGAGCTGGGCGGAGCAGCCTCAGCTTCATGTTCGCTCGTAGCGTCCTGCACCTTCTTGAAAGCAACCAGCGCCCTCCACGCCGCGTTCACCATCGCCGAGACCTTCGTGCACGCGTCGGTGTGGGGCTGGGGCGCGCGGCCCGCGAGAAACTCCAACGTGTCGAACACCGAGCCGTCGACGGGGATCATCGGGCCCTGGGGCGAATTGTCAACTGCCGTCCTCACGATGCCCTCGAACAGCTTGTAGCAAGGCTCACGGACATCGTCTGGCAACTCCTTGGCGCGGCAGTCGTGGAGCGCATCGCGGAGGCGACGCGTCTTGTCACCAGAGGGCCCCCACTCGCGCACGGCCTGCATCACGAGGTCGTGCTTGCTGGCAAGGTCCATGTCCAAAAGCCTGCTGTGGATGTCCTGCGCCGACTTCTCGACGTGCTCATCGGCTGGGAAGATGGACGACATTTCCTTGAAGAGGTCCTTGAAGACGGCCAGGACTGCCGAGGGGCTCTCATCGGGCGCTTCGGCATCAGCGACGGCGGCGGCGGCGCCCCTGGCGCCGCCCGCCACCAGCAAATCGCACAACTTGGTCGCCTTCTCGAGCAAGATTGCCTTCACGATGTCGGACGCGCCCTCGTACATCCGCGCCTCCCAGTAGGGGATCTCCTTCGCGATGCTCAGCATGCGCTCGCCGATCGTCTTGTTGGGCACGGAGGTGGTGGACACCGCCGTCAAGTCCGAAGCCGCCTGCTGTAAAGCGCCGCCGTGCTCTTGGAGCGACGTCGCATGCTGGTTGGCCCAGTCGAGCTTTTTCTGCCAGTAGCCCCCTGCCGACGTCATCAACGCCTGCCCAGCGATCCTCAGGACGGTCTGCCCTCCCGTAGTCCGCTTGGCCTCGCTCTCCACCGCGGCCAGGCTATCGAAGATGTCCAGGTTCAGGTCCTGCGGCAAGCTGTCTGCGCTCAACGCCTGGAGGAGGCGAGCAACGGTGTTGGCTTGGAGAAGGCACAACGCAGGTTCCTCCCCCAAGACCGCGTCTTCTGGAAGCGTGTCCCAGAGAGCGATGGCCTCCTCCACAAACATAAGCACGTCCTTTGCCCTGGAGTTGCCCGCGCTGATCCAAAGTTGGAAGGTGTCGCTGAAAACCCACTCCATGAAATAATCGGCGATCTCCGAATCATCCTCGCAAGCCTGGACCAGCTTCACGGAACACGGGTCGATGTTGCGCGCGGCCGCGACGTCAGAGTCCCACGGAGCGGTGGCGGTAAGCATCTTCCTCATGGCATCCCTCTTCGCGGAAATGTCGGTATCGGAATCGTCGACAGTCTTCCAAACTTGGTTGACGTACCTCTTGGATAAGCCCTTCAAGCAGAACTTCGTGAAGGTGGCGCCTGCCTTCTTCAGCTCCTTCCACTTCGCCGTGAGCTCAGTGTTATCGTGGTTCTTGCACTCAGTGGTGCTGAAGCACTTCGCCATGGTGTAGAGGTCCACGTGGATCTGCAAGTTCTTGCGGTCGTTGCCGCTGATCTTCGGCAGCAAGATCTTGGCTTGGTTTTCCGTGCGCCCGTTCTTGCAGTCGTTGGAGGCCCGTTCAAACTTCAGCTCCCAAATCCAATACTCGACCGTGCCAGACATATTTGGGTTCAGGACCTCCTCCCCGGTCGCGCGCTGACCCTTGGAGGCAGACCTCCCATGCCTGAGCGACCCAGACGGTGGAGGCGACGACGACGGCGGCCGCTTCAGGCCGAGTGATTTGAGAGTGGTGGGGCCCACCGACGATGAGGGCCCACGGGGCGCCCCTGGGGTGCGCTCGGGATCGTCCGCGTCCTCGACGCTCACCACGCCATCCTTCTCGGAGCCGTCCTCACCCTCGCCCTCCTCGAACTGATTCCCCTACTCATCTAAATTCACCTCGTCGATCGCGCCAGATTTCTGCTTGCCGAACCGCTTCTGGGACTTGGCGTTCAGTGCGTCGCGGCGGTCCTTGATGGACTGGAAGGTCGGAATAGCAGAGTGCATGCCCTGGTTGAAAGTGACCTGGCCCTCCTCGTCGCCGCCTGTGCCGACTTTGTTCGCCGTTGCCGCAAGCAGCATATCGCTGTGGCCCTTCATCAACTCCTTCGCTCCGTCCTTAGTGTAGGTGACCTGGGAGCCCATGGAATTTCGATGGAATATCTTCAGCGCCGGGCAAGCGCCCTTCCGATCTTGGATCATCTTGAACGGGTAAACTACCATGGGGGACGGCCGCTGGCAGACGATGACGCCCCTGAGACCGAGAGTCTTGGGAAGCTTGCCGAACTCCTTCATGACGTCGTTGCTGCTCAGCGCCAGCACTTTGATATAGAGCTCGTGTCCGACGGACGCCTCCTGCCTGACGGCCATGCCGCTAGCGCCTGTAGGCGGCGAGTTGGCAACATCAATTGGAGAAGCCCCGCCCTCGAACAGCTGGTCCATGACACCCATGGACGAGTACCCCACGGCATCCGAGAACATCATGCCAGGAAGCTCCTCGAAGACGAACTGGATGCACCCGACGCAAGCGGTGTCGCCGTCAAGGAGGAGACACCCCAGGTGCATCGTGTCATCCTCGCCCGTGATCTTGAACATCTTGACCTCCTGAGGCGGAGGCGGAAACAAACTAATCATGCCCTTATCATCGTCGTCGTCGTCGTTATCGCGGTCGTCGTCGTCTTCCTTCTTCTCCTCCTCGTCGTCCGTGCCCTCGTTGCCGTCGTCGTCGTCGCCGCCGCCGCCCCCCCCCCCAATTTCCCCCGCCCTCTCGTCGTCGTCGTCGTCGTCGACGCTGGAAGGGGAGCTGAATGTCTAGATGCGCCCCATCTGTCCCGATCGGTCTTCGCGCACATGTCGCACGCCAACGCCGTCTTGGCGCTCTTCTTCGGCGGGCCAGTGGGCGCGCGCCGCGTGCCCCTGCCACCATTGCCCCTGCCGTTGGCTCCGCGGCCTCTGGCCGAATCGCCTCGCGCCATGCCCGCAATCAGCAGCTTGTAGCACAAGCACAAGCGTCGCTGCTGGCCCCTGCGGGCGAAACAGGCTCGAAGCAGAAACGGCCTCGGACTGGGCGATGAGGGGAAAGGTTGAGGAGAGCAATGGAGACGGGGCGATGGTGGCGACAGGGGCAAGGGCTCCCCCACGTGACGCGTGGCCGTCGACACAGCGGCCACGCGCAGACGATGAGGTGTGTCCGAGGGGCGCTCCGAGGCAGGGCGAGCAGGATAAGTGAGCACTCCTTTCACAATCGAACAAATACACGCGAGCATTCTGGTAATAGTGGCACCCGCGTGGCTGCGATCTTCTGCAGCCCTCTTGAAGCTGGCGCGTCCGCAGAGAAGCAGCCATCCACTACAATGCCCCTTGCATGGCGAATCGAACTATGGGAACCTGGTGCAACGCAATGCCATATCGGAGCTGCCTGGGCTGGAACCCTTTGACCTAAAGCCTAAATGGCGAAATCTGTCGGCATTAGCGCGCAAGCACAGCCAGCGCGACCCCAATTTACCAGGCGGCCACCAGAATATCCTTGGACAACAAGCCTCTCGAGCACATCGTTCTGAGCACAACGTCTCAAGCCTAGCGCCACGGGCCTCGCGCATCGGGCCTCACGCCTCGAGCACGACGTCACGAGCACAACGTCTCGATCACAAAGTGTCGGGCAGCAGATCATCATGTATGGCAACGTCTCCTAGTCGGAGGTCCCATCACTGATGTAGCACAACGTCTCAAGGATCTGATCACCCGCCTTCTTGAGCCTGGTCTTAACCTTGGCCAACGCATGCATCAACTTGCGATTTTTCTGCCTTTCCTTTTTCACGAGCTTCTGGGACGCAAGCAGGGCCCTCTCCAACGTTTCACGGTCCGCCCCTTGCGTGAGAGGTGGTGGCGTCGCCAACGGAAGCTCGGGTGCCCGTGGCTCGTCTGCTGCCTCTTGCGTCGCATTCGCCCGAGGCAACGTGCTTGCTTCCGACCCTGAGCCGTCACCTTCTGGTGGTAGGGTCGCCATGGGCTGTCGGGGTACGAGGTAACACGGGCATGCACTCGCATCCCCCAGAGGGTCACGATGACGACGACGGAGCCGTCGGACAAAGACGGCGACGGCGACGTCCTCTTCCGACAACGTCGACGACGACCACGGCGACGACGGGGACGACGCGCACACAACCCACCACAGCTTGATTCGCCAAACGGTCCTCGCAGAGCGAAGGCCGACGGGCCGCGCGGAAGTATTCGGTCAGAACGCGCGCCGTGACAGGGGGGCCCTGAGGTCCTCGGTCCAAGGGGGCTCCTTCTCCTTCTCCTTCCTCTCCTTCTTCTCCCTCCCCTCCCCTCCTCAGTGAGGATGCGAAGGCACGGCCGCGCAGAGAGAGGTCGCGCGCGACGCGCGCGCGGGAGTCGCCTGGGCGCGTGGTCGCCCGAGTCTGGAACGGGCTGTGGACGAGGCGACGGGGGGAGGGATGTGCGAACCTGGAGAGGCGGGCGAGGGGAGGGAGCATATGGGGATGAGGAAGGAAGGAGGAAGCGGGGAGGTCGGAAACAGGAGGGGAGAGAGAAGGAGGGGAAAGGGAGAAGAAGGTAGGATGAGGTAGAGAGCAAGATCCTTTCTCCTCGCCATCCTCTTCACCACCTTCATCATCGGTATCATCATCGTCATCGCCGTGGTCAGCATCATCGTCATCATCGCCCTCCCTTGCCCTGCTGCTCATCATCGCCACCATTACCGCCATCGCCACGGTCATCATCATCGCCATCCTCCTCATCATTGTCGTCGCCGCCCCCTCACAATCATCATCATCGCCATCGCCGCGGGCGGGGAGAGGTAGAGGAGGAAAGGGAGAAGGAGTAAAAGGGGAGAAGCGAAAGGTGGAAAACGGGAGGGGCCCACGTTCCCCTGCTGACCTCTGCTCTGCACCGCTTGCTGCCCTTATCCTGACCCCCCGCCCAATTTGGACCGCCCGCAATTCCCGCCCACTCCTCCTTGCCCGCCTCTATCCCATCTCCCTATTTTGCTTTTCCCTTCCGCCTCCGTTCCCGCTCTCCCCCTCCCCCGCCGCCCGCCCCCCTTTCCGCCCTTCCTCCTCCGCCGCCTATTTCCCCACCCGGGAGCCCCCCCCCCCCCCAAGACCCCCAGGTCCCAGATCCTGGCTCCCGGAACCCGTGGAAACCCGCCGCGGAAAAGTCAATCTAGCGACCCGTGGAACCCCCCGTGGAACCCGCGGAACCCCATATCTAGCGACACTTCAAACTCAACCCTTGGGGCGTTGACGCATCTCGAACGAAAGACTTTTCACTTTTCGGGGGAGCGGCGCTTCGCCCCCTACCTTTCTTTTTATCAATTTGGGGTTGGGTATACTTCTGGGAGCAATTGGCATTGGGGGTGGAAACGACCGAGGCGGCGCCATTTAATTCTGGACTGGTATTTGTTTTGTGTAGTTTTATTTATGTTTTTCAAGAAGCGCCCGACGCGGCGCGACGGAAGTGCATGGAGTAAACAACTGAAAACAAAGGCACAACAACATACCAACACTAACAATCATCTTTACCCGCAATGCCCGCTACCAGGGGTACCGAGGGGGATAGGAGAATGGGAGTACGAGCAAAGATAAGCCGACAATTATGTGCTCAGAGAGTAATCAGTGATCATAGTCTATAACATGTTAACCTATACTAACCTACTGTTACACTACTCTCTATAACACTCCCCCGCTCCCTCGCTACCCAGAGGTACCTATGGAGTAGTGGGGAATGGGGGAATGGGTTCTAAGCCTACTATATTATTACTACTAGATATTATACCTCCCTCGGTCTCCCCCTCTTGGGAAACCCCTGGAGGGGGAGACCGAGGGGGGTATAAATAATATTCTAGTATTCTAGTAAGCTGAGAACCCATTCCCCCACTCTCCCATGGGACGGGCACGCGCCCTTCAGATTTTCTCGTTCTGGAATCAAAATATGCCGACCGCGTCGGGCACAAAGCAGATCCGAAGCAAAACGCGCGCGCGTTTTGCTTCGGATCTGCTCGTAACTGTTTTCAAACGCTTGTACGTTTAGCAAATTACTCGAAGGCCTGCGGAGGTCCGAAAGGAACTTCGGGCTGCACCCTTCACGGGCCCTTGCCCACCACCCGCCCACAAGCCCCCCCAACCCCGCCCCCCCCCCCCCCCCCCCCCACCACCACCCCACCCACCCCCACCCCACCCACCCAGCCCCACCCCCTACCTCCGCCCCTACCCCACAAGCACCCCATCCGCCCCTACCCCACCACCGACCCACCCAACCCTTCGCCACCCCCTGCCCACCTACACCACTCACCACCACCACTACCGCCCCCCCCTGTCCCGCTCTATACACATCACCACTCACTACCCTGCGCACCCCGCCCGACCCACCGCACTTCGCGAACCCCGCCCACCACCACCCCACCAACCCACAGCATCCACGTACACACAAACACACTTCACCCATCCACCCCTCAACCCTTCCGCCCCTCCCCTCCCACCCCCACCTACATACACCCCCATCCCCGCCCACGCCCAGCCGCCCCTGCCCCCCCCCCCCCCCCCCCCCCCCTCCCCCCCCCCACCCCCCCCCCATACCACCGCGCCGCGCCCAGCCGCCCACCGCGCCCCGCAACTTCTCACCCCCGACCAAACGCCCCACCACCACCACCGCCGCAATATCCCTATCCCTTTCCCCATCATCATCACCCGCCCTCACACCACCCCTCCATCCCTTCCCGCTTCCCCCTATCCACACCCACACTCCCTCGGCCGCCCTTCGCCTTACCCCCCACGCCCCCCCCCCCAACCACCCCCTCCCCACATACACATCCACCCTCCCCAACCGCCATCCCCCTTCCTCCTCCCCCACCCCCCTCCCCCACCCCCAAAACACACACACACACCACACTCACCAGCCCACCCACACACTTATCCACACCCCGCCACCGTATGCACCACGCACACGCACACGCACACGCACCACTGCCCCGCCCAAACTGGCCCACACTATCTCCGAAATGATCTGGATGTCTGCGGGCGGCGCCGTCGGGCGCGCCCGTGAGCGGGGGCTGCCGCCGCGCCCCGACCACCGTGGGCGCGGGCGGCGGCCCCTTCGTCGGGCGCGCCAGTGGGCGGCGGCAGCCGCGGCGCCTTTGCCGCCGCGGAAGCGCGCGGCCGCCCTCCACGAACTCGTCGGGGGCCATCGCTGCCGCCCGCCACCGCGAGAATTGCGCAAATGCTGGCGGAGGGCAGGGCGGCGCGCGCGGACCGCGGCCGCTCCGCCACCTGGCATATCGGCCGTAGGCTGAACTCATGAAACGGGTCGGGCTTGAGCTCCTCGCCCTAACAGATACACGCGGGGCCCAGGCGGCCAAGTCCTGTACCCGACACGGCGGGCACTGGTGGCACGGTCGCCGCCAACCTTGGAACGCGCTTCGAAGGCGCGCCCGAATGCCGCGGCGTCCAGCGGGCGGCGGCGGGCGTGGCGCCAGCTCTGTTCGGAATTAAACTCCGATGCGCCACAGGCAGATTTGTCATGCCGACGGAGACGGCCCCTGCCTCTGCCGCGCGCCTCTTGGCCGTCCTGAACCATCT